ACACCACCATAACCACCGTTACCAATGTGATAGCTGGCATGGCGCTGTAGGATAAAGCACTGGACTGCAAAGTCTGTTTGAACTGCAAAGTCAGCGATTCAGACTCACCAGCTGCTCCTAGGAAACCCTGTACAGGTCGCTATGAGTCAGAACTGACTCTATGGCACTTAACAACAATGTAATGACTGGAACTGTGGTTGCCTTGGCAAGGCCAGACCAAATGTTTCCCACCCTTGCCATACAAGGGTTGCTATGACTTGGAATCGACTCAATAATAGTAGCTTTGGTTTGTTTGTTGCAGTGCAGTTATTATGCACTTGGCTGTTAACCCCAAAGGCCGATGGTTCAAACCCACCAGGGGCTTCATAGGAGAAAGATGTGGCAGTCTGCTTCTATAAAGATGGCAGCTTTGGAAACTATGGGACCAATCCTCTGTCCTTTAGGGTCGCTATGAATAGGAACTAGACAGCAATGAGTTTTACAGCTCTATAGAGTATCAGGAAAAAGTTAAACTGATGAGGATAGAGAAATTAGTTGAAGGAGAGAAGAGAGATAGGCACTTATAGCTCCCACCAATACCTGTTTAACTTATTTACCTTTACAGTATTTTTGAAAGAGCTCATTTAAAATTTAGATGATGGTAGCAGGTATTGACTGTTTTTCATCAACTAATTCATGCAATCTTTAGTGTTTCAGGCCTCTGTGTGTATATTTTTGAGTGATCTCCATAGAAAAGTAGTCATATTCTTGAATATTGAATGTGATTTTTTTTTTTCCCACATTTCTTTTGGTATCGATTTTGATTTATTTTTGGTATTGTCATTATTTAGAATTATCTATGATATCTTTCCCATTGCGTCAATAATGAGAATTAACTCAATTAGAAAGGTATTAATAAAAATTTTCTGGACATTTATAATATTCTGATTGTAGCTGTTAATTTATGGCAGCAGAGCCATCTTTGTTGTGAAGTTATGTAATGAGGAAGAAAAAGTTTTATAAAGACTTTTATTTTAGCATGGATTTTCCATACATTGCATTTCATTTATGTATCCTAAGTACAGCCAGTATGGAAGATTAAGAAAAACATTCCTACAAGCCTCTATCATTCTAGAATAACTTGGGTATTTTTATTTGTTTTATGTATTGAATATCTTTCATTGTATGTTTTACTAAGTAGAACTTCACTGTGTGAAATTTTGGGTAAAGTATTTCTGAAAAATCTTGTATTCTTTCAGATTTTGTTATAGAACTTTTCATCAATGCCTATGACTAAATCTTTATGTGTTTTGTCCACCTTTGTGTATAGGAATTGAATTTAAGATGTCTCAGGTTAAAGGTTTTTGTTTTATTTATGGTTGGAGGTATAAATGTAATGGACATGCATAGACATGCAGCTAAAGATACAGGTTGAAAGTAATTGAATGTATTACCACTATTATTAAAATTTACACACCAACTACAAAAGCCATTGGTGATGGAGTTTAAGAATTCTGCTAACTTCCTCAGTCTGCCAAAAGAACAATCTAATCGGTGTTGGAAGAAGTACAGCCAGAATACTCCTTGGAAGCCAGGATGGCCAGACTTCACCTCTCATACTTTGGGCATATTATCCTGGGGAAGGATATAATGTTTGGTAACGTGGACAGTTGGAGAAAAGAGGAAGACCCACCCCACCCCCAACCCCCCCAACGAGATGGATTGGTAGAATGGAAGCAGCAATGGAATCAAACATAGTGACGATTGTGAAGTTGGCGCAGGACTGGGCAGTTTTTCATTTTGTTGTGCATAGGGTCGCATCTCAACACCTAACAATAACTACCGCAGTCTGAAATTGATCAAACATGCAATAAAGATGCATTGATAATTACTGGAAATTGGATCAGTAGTTGGAAAATAGTGGCCTTAGTGATAGAAACAATGCTAGTGATCGCATGATAGAATTTTACAAGACTAATGACATCCTCAGGAGCTCTGGTAGTGTAGTGGTTATGAGTCTTGCTGCACTTCAAGTTCAGCAGTTTGAAACTACCACCCTTTCCACGGGAAAAAGATGAGGCTTTCTGCTCCCGTAGATGTTTACAGCCTCAGAAACCCTTTGCAGAGTTGCTATGAATTGGAACCTACTCTATGGCACAAAACCAACCAAACAAATGATATCTTCATTGCAGATACCTTTTTTTTACACTCATCATTTCATTGCAATGATTACAATCTCCCCCATGCATCATCATTCAACAGTATTTGCTTCTATTCCCTCTATTTTGTTTTGTTGGGGGATGGGGGTGGTATACACAAAAACATTCAGGAATATATATATAATAACTTAAACAACCAAAGGGCACTTTCTGCTAGCCTACATCCTGGCCACCAGCACACAACCTTTCTCTTTCCATTAGTATAGAGTCCTCAGGTGCTGTTTTTCTCATGCCCTCATCTCTGTCTCTATCTCTGGTGTTGCTGCTTCTCTAGATAGGGCCCCACATTCCACTCCTGCTCTTCTCCTTTGATGGTCCTAGGGTCCTCTGTTCCTGGACTATTAAGTTTAACCACTCTCCTCTTTTTGTTACAAAACTTCTACCTTTACAGTTGTGACAGTCGCAATTAATCATGGTAATAATTTGTTGTGTTGTTGTGAAGTGTCGTTGAGTCGGTTCCGACCCATAGCAACCCTTTGTAGGGTTTCCAAGGAGCAGCTGGTGAGCTTGAACTGCTGACCTTGGAGTTCAGACGGCTTTGCAGTCTGGCGCATTAACCCGCAGCGCCACACCAGGACTCCATGATAACAATTACTCACTATTAAATCATAAGAATTTTATCCCCATCTTTTTTCACCAGACCCATCTAGACAAGATGAATACTCTTCAGTGGGGATTTGCAGATACCTTTTTTAAACAACATAAAAAAACTATACACATATAACAAAATAAAAGTAAAAAAATTTTTTTAGATTAAAAACATAAGACTATATACATAGACCTTACCAGATGGAATATAAGTCCATGGGTGCCAAAATATGACATTGAACATATCCCACCTGAATTTAGAATATATCCCATCCATTTCAAGGATCGATTTGATACATTAGACACTACTAACTGAAGACCAGAAGAGTTATAGGATGACATCATACAGGAAGAAAGCAAAAGGTCATTAAGAAGACAAGACAGAAGGAAAAAACTAAAATGGATGTCAGAAGAAACTCTGAAACTTCTCTCCAGCTTAGAGATGCTTAAGCGCATGGAAGGAATGAAGAGATAAAAGAGTTGAACATAAATTTCAAAGGGCAGCTCTAGAAGACAAAGTCAAATTAATGAATTGTGCAAAGACCTGCAATTAGAAAAGTGAAGGAAAGAACATGCTCAATATTTCTCAAGCTGAAAGAACTGAAGAAAAAAATTCAAGCTTCAATTTGCAAAAAAATTCAAGCTTCAATTTGCAATAATGACTCCTGGTATGGTACTTTATATTCAGCACTGGACTGCGAACCACATGTTGGCAAGTTCAAGCCCACCAGCCTTTCCTTGGAAGTTCAAGCCCATAAGTCTTTCCTTGATGGCACTTAGCAAAAACAACAGCATGGACAAAAATACTGATTGATGCACAGTGCATCAAAAGAAGATGGAAGGAATACACACGCACTTTACCCAAAAGAAATTATTGATGGTCAGCCATTTCAAGAGGTAGCGTATGATCAAGAGCCAGTAGTACTGAAGGAGAAAGTCCAAGATGCAGAGAAGGCATTGGCAAAGAACAAGGTATCTTTTAACAAACTGATGATGCAGCACTGGAAGCACTCATCTATGTCAAGAAATTTGGAAGACAGCTACCTGGCCAATTGATTGTATCCATTCCAAAGAGAGGTGCCTAATGGAATGCGGAAATCATCATACAATTTCATTAATATCGCATACAAATAAAATTTTGCTAAGGATAATTTAAAAACAACTGCAACAGTATGTTGACAGGTTACTACTAGAGGTTCAAGTCATCTTCAAAGGAGGACATGGAACAAGGAATGTCATTGCTGACATCAGATGGATCTTAACTGAAAACAGAATACCAGAAAGATGTTTACCTCTGCTTTATTGTCTGTACAAAGACTTTCAACAGTGTGGATCAAAACAAGGTATGGACAACATTGTGGAGAATGACTACTCCAAAGCACTTAATTCTACTCATGAGGCACCTGTACATAGAACCAAGGACAGTTCAAACAGATCAAAGGGATAGTGAGTGGTTTGAAAATAAGAAAGTTGTGTTCACCATACTTATTCAGTCTGTGTACTGAACAAAAAATCTGAGAAGCTGAATTATGTGAAGAAGAACAAGACATTAGGATTGGAGGAAGACTCATTAACAACCTGCAAAATGCAGATGATAAAACTTTGCTTGCTGAAAGCAAAAAGGACGTAAAAATACTTACTGAATATCAAAGCCCACAGTCTTCAGCATAAGCTGCATCTAAATGTAAAAGCCTCACCACTAGACCAATAAGTATTAACATCATAAATGGAGAAAAGACTGAATTTTGGTCAAAGATTTCATTTTGCTTGGATCTACCATCAACACTCATGAAAGCAGAAGTCCAGAAATCAAACGATGTATTGCATTAGGTAAATCTGCTGCATGAGACTTCTTTAAAGCATTCAAGAACAAAGATGTCAGTTTGAGGGCAAAGGTGCTCCTTACCCAAGCCATGATATTTTCACTAGCCGCATATGTATATGAAAGTTGGACAATGAATATGGAAGACTGTAGAAGAATTGATACATTCAAGTTATGGTGCTGGAGAAAAATATTAAAAGTACCATGGACTGCCAGAAGAACAAGCAAATCTATGTTGGAAAAAGTATAGCCAGAATGCTCCGTAGAGGCCAGGACAGGGAGACTTTGTCTCTCAATACTTCAAACATTTTATCAGTAGGGACCATTCCCTGGAGAAGGACATCATGCTAGGTAAGCAAAGAAGGAGAAGAGACACCCACCCACCCCCAACAAGATGATTGCACAGCAGTGGGCTTAAGAGTAACATGATTGTGAGGTTGGAGCAAGACTGGGCAGTATTTCATTCTGTTGTACATAAGGTAGCTATCAGTCGGAATTGACTTGATGACACCTAACAACAGCAGTGGAGTCCTGGTGTGGCACTATATAACAGGCACTGGACCACACAAGGTCAGTGGTTCAAACTCATCAGCCTGTACAGGGTCGCTATGAGTCAGAATCAACTCAACAACACTTTACAAAAACACAATAGTAGATTAAAAGAGGAAATGGTAACTAGCATTGGGAGATTTGTACTATGTCTTCTTGGTCTTCCTGATCTTGGAAAGGATACACTTTTTGATGATCTTTTGAATTCTTTTGGTGAAGGTGAAATTTATCCTTTTTAGAGGTTCAATTGCATTACTATTAAATGGCACAAAGTACCTGTTTGTTCAGGTTTGATTGAATAGGAAAGTATACTTAGTATTCTTGCAATTCAGCATAGAATCTAAAAAGTCTCAGAAACTAATTTAAATACAGAAAACTGACACTCTCACTTTAGGAGTTTATTTCTAATCTGGTATTTTCATTAATATTAAATGATAAGACTTAAAATTTGTCTTAGACTAATTTTAAAATGAGATAAAACATTAAAGGTGTGATTAAGCAGGTTAGACTTCAAGTAGGTAGAAAGAAGATTGGTTGGTTGGTAATGTGCTGCTGATTCAGTTCTTACAGTGACCCTGTATAGGGTTTCCAAGATTGTAAATCTTTACAAGAGCAGAAAACCTCATCTTTGAAACCCATGGAATACTTGGTAGTTTCGAACTGCTTACCTTGAGGTTAGCAGCCCATCTCGTAACCACTAC